ATAAAAAGGACCGGGGTGTTCGTCGAAAATGTTGTAAAGAACCTCCAAGAAGTACCAAGACCCTGTTTTGTGGGCATGGCCTGAAAATGTTTACACCCCTAGAGGTACCAATTCTCAAAAAAAAAAAGCATTTTTTTCGGCTCAATACCCTTAAAACGTACCGCAAAAGCTTCCGCTGTGGCCCCTTCGAGGCTGAACATCCTAAGGGGTATTAAACCGCCTTTTTAACCCCTAAAAGGTACGACGAACATCCCCGTTCTTTTAATATAGGAGTCCCCCCCGCCCCCAGCCCCGTAACGTGGGAACCAAAAGTACTGAACAGTTAGGCCTGATTACAGGGTTCCTGTATCTTCCTGCTGGAGTTCTCATTTCCTTTCCTTTTTTTTCGTCCTAGAAAGGAAACTGGTGTTTGTACACAAGTGAAAGAGTGCTCACTGAGTGTAGTTGTTCATGCTCTCCTTCAAGATATCAATTGAAACACCACACAACTACTTCAACAAAAGTTTAATTCTAATCACCATACATTGGCAGCTTATAAAATAGAAATTATCAGTAACTTTACGACGTTTATCTCAGACCATACAAGCCTATTCTAACTGTCTAACTTCATAGCGTTTTGGGGGCGGTCACGAAACGTGGCGTCACGATATATGTAACGGCTACGAGCGTGACTAACCCAAGCTAGACCTCTCAATTTTTTAATGCCTAACTGACCGATAAGTTTGACACAAATACAAATGTTCGCATTTTAAAAGTCACTTCTTGCTAGTCACTAGTCTCCTTTGCAGCCATAATTAGGATCGTCACGCAACAGTTCACGGGGAGAAGCGTTACGTGACAGTCAAGTGGTTGCGAAGGAGACTAACATGTCATCAGCCTGTACATATCAAAACTCCGTACACAACAATCTCATGAAAAACTACTATACTCTATTACATTATCAACTTGGATTTGAGGTCTGATTTCCCACAAATGCCTTACGCAAATCCCTTGAATTAACAATAATATAGATTATTCCCAGCTCTTTTGAAATTCGCACCAAAATTGATTGCCTCCTCTATTTACTGATCTGACTCCACGGGTTTCAAACCTCAACACTTCGCAGGTTCTCTATCTTCACCGCGTTTGCTTACGCGAAGTTCTATCTTTTTATTTCCTTTGAAAATAGACTTTGAGAAGCTGCATTATTTGGTCATGACTAAAAACTCTACACGTCCACAGTTGTCAAGAAAGTGAATTCTAAAGAAAGCATAGTTAAGAAGAGGTTCTCAGTTCAAATAATATGAGGGAAGGGCTCAAGAACGTGTAGAGAACAGATCAGCTCTATTTAGCAAACCACAATTACATTAGATGACTGAAATTTCACACTTTCGTTTGCTGGGTTATTGCAGTTTTGCTGTTGACATCGACTTTGTCGCGTCAAACTAACACGTTCTCTGTGATGATAATCTCGACACTACCCTATTGACAGCAAAAACAATTCTTTTTATGACAAAATCTACTCAAACGACAGCAGATCTTAATAATTAAACAAGAACCAGTAAAGAAAGTTGAGGGGAAGCGAAAGCGAAGAGAAGAAAAGTGAAACTGTAGCTGGGCGAGGGATCACGCGAATCTACGCGTCTGGTTCGGCTTCAGGCGTGGCATCAGCGTCGCCTGAATCCCCAGATTTATCCCCTCGGGTCGTCTTTCTCCTTGGCTCGGGAGGGGTGGTGAAACCGCTTCGACCTGTTGCGCCGCCACGGCCCCTAGAAACAAACAAAAAAGTCATTAGACAGTTTGCTTAAAAGAACTACGTCGCGGTTTGCGTATCAAGTTCGTCGTTTGTAATCCGTGTCAATCTTCTCCATTCTTAACCATCCTTGTTTCTTTATGGTTTATTAATATCTCTTTGGTGTTTTTCTACCTAAGTAAACTACTATTTTCAGGTTTCCTTCAATTTAAAGGTAATTCTGTACGCGGCTAAAATAACTCAAAATATCCTTCAGTTGTGCTCGAGTTATGAGAGCTAGTCGATAAACAAACAAACGGCACGCACGTCTGACAGAGAGGGTAGAAACGTGATCGCGCCGTGATAATTTTACACAGGCCAACCGGTTCGACTTACACACAAATTGCTTTGCAGTTACACCGCTATTCACAGCTACCTTATCCAAAACAAGCACCATGTTAACAAATGGTATGCTCCCGTGCCAATTTCACTGATTTCCAGGGCAAATGCTCAGAGAAAAATTCTTAGTAATTTCCAGCTGCGCTTGAAACGACTACAGAGTCAATTCTTTGATTCTCAGTTGAACAGACGAAACAACTCTACCCACGTTCCGTATAGTAATACCGGACATCCATGTTTCTTCTCCCGTCAAAACTCTTTACATCAGTTCAGCGACAAAAAATCACTATTAAAGTTATTCTCTGAGAGACCCAAGTCAATTTTAGAACACTGAATATGAATATTCGGCCGAATATTTGTCTACCTTCGATTTTCTGCCGACATAACAAAAGCTCAAGTTAATAGTTACCTAAGTCTGTTTCGGAGACTTTGTACTTCGCGATTAAGTTCCTCGTTAGCTTCAATGTAATCATCCAGCTCTCGTTGTATTTTGCGTTTTGAGGAGTTGAGTCGCGTGTTCTCTTCTTCAGCTTCGTCTACAGACCGCTTCAAGGTCTTCACACGGGCGTTCACCTTTTCCATCTAAAAGGACAAGAGTCCACGAAACAAGAATTGAAATAATACACGCTTTTTGCTATGATAAGAATAACGAAAGTGCTGACCCTTAAATTAACTTAAAGTTTCTGAAGCCTGCAACTACCGTACATCTTACACTGACGAATTCCGAAGAATTCCGACTTCCGGACGAATGCGGAAAGTTTCCGAAAAGGACGGTCAGCAAACAGCAAAAACAGAAACCTTACCAGACTAAGTAAAACACTGAGAACGTTCAACCAACCTGTTCTTTGTATTGGTCAGCATGGCGCCTCTCCTCCTCCACTTGTAACACGGACTCTTTGTATTTCTTCTCTAGCTTACGGTTATTCTTAGCCAGGAGAGCGCGTTCCCTGAGAGAAAAGGCACGGTATTGTCAGCAAAACATTAATCCGACATTGTCCCAACAATGTCCAAACACTGGTACAATATTGCCCCGAACTGCAGGAAAACTCGCATCTAAATCGTAGGTTTTCATTCCCAATCTCGTTTGTTTTTTTTTTTGTTTACTTCTGTCCTTAACTCCCCATATAGGACGATTGAAACAATTTGCTATAACTTTCACTTACTTGGTTTCGGCGTCAAGCTGCTCTTGTAGTGTGGCTAGTTTGTTCTCCAGTGCCTGTACAGTCATCCTGTTGCGAGCACGTGTCTGGCTCTCCAGTTCCTGTAGTTTGGCTTTCATGTCTTTGTTCTAACAAGAAAACAACAGGTTTGTTGACTGATGCTGTGAAGGGCGCGGCGCGGCCCTCATCTTTAGCAAAACGCGGGAAAATTTGGCGCCAAAATGCAAAGGGAAACCGCGGGAACTCTCGAATAATCATAACGAACAGGAAGTAGTTGACAGCTGCAATTTTAAATAATTTTAAAGTTTTCATAGCATAACTTTCTTACCTGTTTTTCTAGCGTGTTTTTGCTGCTCTCCATCTTTTGCAAGGCAGCACGCTCTGAGTTCAGATCTGTCTGGAACTGCTCCATCTGTTAAATTAAAAGTAGTCAATGTTACGCATGAGGTGCTACATGAACAGTCGCACTTCTTTCTTCAACATACCTGCATATTAGCCCGCTTGAATTTCTCAAGCAGTAATTCATTTTGAGTTCTTTCTTCCTCGATTTCTTCTTCCAATTGAGCTATGCGTGCATCTTGTTTGCGTTTCTCGTCGGCCCATGATCCCCTAAAACAGCAAAACAAAACAAAATTGACCAAACAGAATCAAGGCCAGCCCTACAACGAGGAGCGCCGCGAAACGCAAGAACTACGCTCACGATTCTCGCGGGTATATTTTGGACTTCGCGCGCTTTGTTTGCTGGTACCATGCTGTAATATGAATATAACAGATGTGACTACCTTTGATGACTTGAGCTTGCTAATTCTTCTGCTAATTCGTCTCTTTCCGCTTCCAAACTTTTTCTGGCTCGTTCGGCGGCAGCAAGGTCCTAAAATTAATAAATAATAGTAGGTTAAGGGGACTGTGTCGCGGCTGAATTTAGTCTATTTTATGAAGTTTTGCCAAATACTCGATATGAAACTTAATGTTAGCGAGGAAATTCTGTGTTTCCTAAATGACAAAGCAAATTAGCAATAGCTTCATTACTAACAAATATGTCTCTCAGCCGTTACAATTAAAGGTGACAATAAACGAGATTAACTTCGCAACTGTCCACCCTATTAAAAGTATTTCAAAAAAAAAAACAAATCGCAATCCGTTTTTATCTTCTTCAATTTTTGCCCATGCGTGTCTTAAAATGTTCCTTCACTGGTTTAAATGGTTATTTTTATATTTCACTCAATTTGGTGGCCACTTTATGTCTAAATTTGGCTCAAATCCAAACTTCCTTGACTCTAGCAGCTTGTCACCGAGGCACTCAAGGAGTTTCTGATTCTATCACCCTATCACAATACAACGACGGAAATCACCAGCAATCCGTCATGTTTCTTTGCAATGTCTCATAACGTAACGTCACGTAATCCTAATCACCGTTTCCAGTAACTCACTTCTTACCTCTTGCATTTGTAAGTAATCGGCTTCCAGCTGTTTAGCTTTCCGTTCATTCTCCTTCGCTTGTTCCGATATCTCGTCTCGAGCGTGCCGTGCCTCGTCCAGATCTCTCTGAATGTCCTTGACCTGCTGCTGGTATTTCTTCAGCTGTCTGAGGCCATCTTCCTTCACGCGGTTGGCTCCCTCGAGCTGTTCTTCGAGATCCGCGATGTCCATCTCGATTTTCTTCTTGGAGTTTACAGCATTCACTTTAGCCTTGCGTTCCTCGTCCAGCTCGCTCTCAAGATCACGCAGCTAAGGAGACAATCAGATAAAATTCTGCTTAGCTAAGGAACCTGCTTATAGTTTTGAAAAGTTCCAATCACAAACACATATCCTCTCGCGTTTTGTGCAGTGTAAAATAATCTTCTCACCTGTTTGAGTAAAGCTTTCCTCTTCTCCTCGTTCTGTTCGTCTCTGGCAGACAACTCTCTGTCAAACTGAGTTTTCGCTGCCTGCATGTTAACTTCCATCCTTAGCTTAGCATCCTCGGTAATCTGCAGTTCATCCTCGAGTTCTTCGATCTGCTGTTTCTTCTCGTCGAGTTGTGCTTCCAGCAATCGCTTGGATTTCTCCAGCTCGTGCACGTTCTTGCCGAAGTCATCCTTGCTCTCCATCATGGCCTCCAGTTCGTTTTGCGCGGCCTTGCGAAGCCTTTCACTCTCCGCCAGTTTCTCCTGAAGTTCTTCAAGTTCATGCGAAAGAGAAATGACCTGGAAAATAAAACATCCACATCAATGTCACTACTGCATAAAATAAAATTAAAATAAATAACTGTCTTTAAGTGTCGAATGTATTTAGCGTTTTTGTACTAACTGGGGACACTGTAAATAAAGAACACAGACTATTAAGAATCCCAACTGGTGGGAAGCTAACCAGTTTGGTTATTTACACAACGCGGTCGAGGAGTTGACTCGGGACCACCATGAACAAATCCAGATAGCGGTAGGAAGCAGGATTTGAACCAGGGACCTCCTAATTTCAAATCCAGCGCCCTAAACCACTCGGTCACGCATTTACCAGACTTGTGGCAAACATTCTGTTGGCTTTTCACTCAATCTTGCTCGTAAGGTTGGGTTCGAAAACACTGCTCGACGACCTAGGCAAAACGAACTCTATACGATAAAACACAAACCTTAGTTTCATTCTGTCTGGCGTCTCGTTCAGCGTTGTCTCTTTCCACGGCGTTCCTCTCGGATATGGCTTTTTCTTCTGCGAGCAACTAAAACAGAGAGAAAAAACATGGTCAAAATTTCACTCCCAAACTTGACTCAAAAGCTGGGGCACTGTAGGCCGCTACTCTGCATACAATCTTACTGCATGACTATTCAAATGAGGTAGTTCAGTGGTGTGTAGTAATGTTTGTTTTATTGCTGTTGGTATTCTTACACTCTGCAAAATGAAATTAGGGAATCTGTTTTTTTCCTAATTCTCAACACTATGCATTTCAGTCATTTCAATTTGTCTCTCGCTAATAGTAAGAACTTTCCCCAACCCTCTCTGTGCCCCAGCCCTCAACTCTTTCTTTTTCAAGTTAAAATGTTAGCAGTGAGAGCAAGTTATTACCCCAGAGGGCATAACAAATGGCACAAACCTGATCAAACTTTCTCTGTTTCTTTTCCAGCGCACTGACCGCTGCTCTCTCCTTCTCCAAGTTAAGTTGCACATCGTCCACCTGTTTGACAATAACAACAATAAAAATAATCTTTATTGGCTCAGTTAAATGTTAGAATCTTTCTAGTCCGCAGTTTCCTGGCCGCAGAATGATCAGAGGGCCAGTAAGTATTTTTTTTTTTTTAAAAAAAGAAAACTCGCAAAACGTACCTCGTCTTGCAGTCTTTTCCTGGTTTTCTCCAACTTGCTGTTATTGGCGCTCAGTTCATCCACTCGCCCTTGCAGTGTCTCCATGTCTCGCGATAATTTCTTCTTGCTCTGTTCAGCTTCTTCGAGAAGAGCCGAGCGATCATCGGCCAATTTCTTGAGTTCAGCCATCTAAGAACAAATGCGAGTAAACAAACTTCTTTAGCGTATCAGTAGCTTCCAACGCAGACGATACGGTTTGTCAGGCAATTTTCCTCCACGAGGAAGAATTGCGTGACGAAACACAGGAACGGCTGCGTAAGAGGCTAGCAAAGGAAAGAAAGGTTTTTCCTCTTGTGTGTTAACTTACATTCAGTTGTACATTTTTTTTTGTAATTCTGTTGGTCAGCACCCGGTAATTAGGCAAAGTGCAATGATGATAAAATCCCCTAATTCTCCCAAGAAGTTAAAGCAATAATACACGGTCAAGAGTAATGAGAATCTATCTGTTCACCCACCTGGGCCTGGGCTTGTGTGAGGTTCTTCTGGAGCGCTACCTTTGCATCTTCCTCATCGTCAAGTTGATCTTGTAGACGGCTGATTTCGGTCTCAGACTCTTTGAGTTTGTTACTGAGCGACAGTTTCTGACGGGTTTCGTCTGATAGAGATTCCTGACAAACAACAATCATTTAGCATTAAAGCACTACAATCATTTTTATCAGCAGGCAATAAAGGGTTTTCAAAGAAAGAAATCAACGGGAAACTCTGAACAGGCCACAGAGATATCAGTAGGACACTCTGAACAGGCACACCGTTACCTAGCGCGGGAAAAACGCGCGGTGTACAAAGTAACGACTAGTTTGACTTTGCTCCTGACTGGTTTAAGAGAAAAAGCATGTTCAATCTGATTGGTGGGAGCTAGTTCTACTTGTTCTCTTTTTTTTTTAACCAACTAGAGAACACTCAGCAATAGACAAGAAACGCGTAACGTTTTCCAAACATCACATTTTGACCTTTTGGAAGACAGCAGAAGTCATTTTAAAACTTGCATGAAATCTCATCCACATAAATCCTCACAAGTTTACCTGTAATTCAGCTAGCTGTGACTCTAGCGAGGCCTTTGCTCTTTCCGCAGTTGAACACTTGGATTCAAATTCCTCCAGTTGGCTAACAGACGCCTCCAACTCCTTTTGCAGTTTAACTTTGACACTCTGTAACTCGGTCACGTGATGTTCATCGTCTGTGAGCCGAGCATTGGCTTCGGAGACCTGGTTCTCCAATACTTTCACTTTACGTTCTGCCTCGGTCTTGCGGCTACTTAATTCTTCCACCTCTGATTTCAGCTGGGAGTTGCTATCTTCCAAATGAGCTTTAGCTTTTTCGAGTTGTGCTTTGCCCTAAGAGGACAAGGAATTAAAAAAAGCAGGGAGTCGGCAAATAATAAGTTTACATGGTACAGGGAATGAACGTGCAGTAGTAATGAACAAAGAATAAGATGAAAGCTAACTGACGCAAAAAAAAAAACCTCTCTGACACCAAGCCTACTCCCCAGTCCTCCCAAAAAAAGCGCAACGTCACAGCCTCGTTTCCACGATCAATCTTCTATCGCAAAGAGCCTGGGAAACTAAAATACTCTCGTCCCAGGCTTTTCTCGAGCGGGCTCAACACAATTAATTCATACCTTTTTGGTCGTTTCCAGTTGAACGTTCAGTTCCTCCACAAGCTGGGTGTGTTTCTGACGGAGTTGTGCCATGGCAGCCTCGTGTGCGACAGTTTCCTCCTCAACGCTTCTTTTCAGCGCGACAAGCTCAGATTCCCGTTTTTGTTTCATTTCCTGGGCTGCGGTTGTTGTGTCAATCGATTCTTCGAGTTCTGATTTCAGCGACTCCAGTTCCTTAAAAAGAAAAGAAAAATGCATCAGCTTGTTTGTAATCCTTTATCCTTAGTTCTTACAAGTACACCGCTGTCACGATTGCCACAGACATCACTTTTAAAAATGCCTTGACTTTTCCCTGAAAATTATTACAAAATGTCAGATACAGTAGCGGCTTCTAACCTCCCTTCACAGCCCTCCTTTCCACCCATTCATTGAGGCTGATAAGTTTTCAAAAAATTTTCCTTCTTCATTAGAGAAAAACATCGTTGAGATCACAGTAACCCCAAGGCGTGCTAAATTATTTCAGTTTTCCCCGACTCAAAATAAAATTCCCTGGCCTCTGAAAATTTTTTTCCCTGACAATTTCCTACCTGGTGGCAATAGACGTTTTGAAAGAATTCATGAATAATCACCGGATTTTGACAGATGATCTCCATCCCCCTACTAGAAGTAAACTAAAGTTTTGTCCTCGCCGAGATTTCTCAGAATTATCACCAATACTTAGTCTGCATACGAGCCAAGTGGCCCATCAGCCCGGAGTTTATCCCGGTTTCTGTAGCATGAAGTGACTAGGAATATTTCTACTCCCCCTGGATGGGATGCTAGTCTATCGCAGAGTTACCCCAAGCATTAAATTCGCCGGTACCCATTAATACACCTAGGTGGAGAGGGTCACTGTGAGAATAAAGTGTCTTTACTTTTGCCCAAGAACATAACACAATGTCCCCAGCTAGGGCTCAAACCCGGACTGCTCGATCTGGAGTCAGGCGCACAAACCACTGCGCCCACCACTCAACACTTAGCCTATACAGATTCCATTACCTCTCCAAGTTCTCTGCGTTGTTTCTCCGCCTTAGTCCTGGCGCTTTTCTCTGAATCCAAATCTTCTCTCAGTTCCTCTATTTGGTTCTCCATTTCTCGTTTGAGCTTCTCGAGCTCGCTTCTCCTGGAAGACTCCTCGTCAACTCTGCGCGGGAAATATGAAGAGCAAAACAAACGTTCAGTATACTACCGGCAGGCTGTTTTTCTCTGGAAATTCAGCAGGGATTTTGAGGCGAGACGCTTCAGCCTAAAGGGGAATGGAACTAGAAGAAGGCTTTTCTCGTCTCGCCTTCTTCCCTACTCGGCGATATCGCCCTTTTGCGTTCGCAATGGCTAAACACTTGTCTAAATGACTCTAAGAGAAAAGACCGGCTGCCAGCAGTCTAAACGTTCAGCGGCCTGACGACAAAACATGCTACTGTAAGTCAAGTCATTCTATGAATACAGAACCACTTACACCATTCACAAAAGACAAAACATTTTCTCTGTTTCCATTGAGTCACATAGACACAAGTAGAATTTTGGGAGAACGAGACATGCCGTAACTAATGCTCTAAAAATCCATAGAAACAAAGACAAAATGTTTTCTATTTGGGATACTAGTCCATCGCAGGTTTGCCCCCCAGAATTAAATTTGCCGGTACCTATTTATACACCTGGGTGGAGAGAGGCACTGTGAGAGTAAAGTGTCTTGCCCAAGAACACAACACAATGTCCCTGGCCAGGGCTCGAACCCGGACCGCTCAATCCGGAGGTAAGCGCACTAACCACGAGGGCACTGCGCCTCCACAACAGTAAATAAAGAACACAAAAACATTTCCCTAGCTCCAAGAACAAAAGAGATGCAGATCTTGTTTATGTAGTAATCTTACCTAGCATTCAAGTCATTCAATTCCATGTCCTTCTTGTGAATAGTAGCTTCTAGATCCTGAATCTGAAATATGAGAAGGACAACAATCAACTCAGTGATAAGTAGCTAAGGGAAAAAATGATACCATATGCAAGGAATTTTCCTAATCACAGTTTGCAATAGGCTCGATTACCAGCCGCTGTTCGGGAAAGGAGCACACGCTCCTCTTACTAAGTCTCTTCTCGGGGGGGGGGGGAGGGGGAGGGGGGCCCTAAACAGGGGGCTAGACCGGACATGAGGTTGTGGCAAAAATAGAGAGCCTAAATTTGCAACTTTTGGAAGCACTTTATCGCTCAGTTTCCTAAAAATTAATGATCACAGAATAAACATTAATTGAAAATAATTATCGATCATTGAGGGCTTAAAATTAATGAACAATTGAAATTTTCTTACCATTTGCTTGGCTTCTTCCAGCTGATGATGGACTTCAGCCAGCTCTGCTTCCAACTTGCGGCGGATTTTTTCCAACTCTTGGCAATTCTAACATTCAATTCAAATGATCAAATTACTAATAAACACAATTCCAGTTGCGTTGAAATATAATCACAAAATATCGTGTCCAGTTCACTTCTAGACAGCAAAACAGTCTGCTGTATTTTTGGGAAGTTTCTTGGTTGAAACACGGTTTACCTTTTCTGAATTTCTAAGTCGTTCTTCGAGATCTGCGATGAGGGCATCTTGTTTAGCTTTCTGCTTTGCTAAGCCCTTGGCTTTCTCCTCCTCGTCAGCAAGTGCTTGAGTTGCCTCTTGCAATTTGTCTTCTAAGGATTTCTTCTCTTTCGTCAACTGTCAAAACAAGTTTTTAATTCATTTTTAAATAAATTTAATACATATTAACCTTCTTAACCACGACAGATAGGATGTAACGCTATGAACTCTGGTCCTGCAAAACAGCCGATGCTTCCTTAAGCTCCTACGCAAGCCTTCATTTGGCTTGTCACGCATTCCTCAGATAGCGTGACACGTTAAAAGACTGTCTGTATAAGGAGGTTGTGTATCCTCAACCTACCTTGGAGTTGGAATCTTCCATTAGCGTCAAGTCCTCTTCCTGTTTCTTTATTTTGGCTTCAACGGTTACTTTCTCAAGCTGAAGTTTTTGTCGAGCAGCCTCCTCTTCTTCCAAGCTACAAACGAACAAACAAGTAAGCAACAATTTCAGTTCACGGCAAATTCTCTTGTCCACAAACTTAAACAACATTTAGTTCTAAAAAAACTCTTCAAGTTTTGACTGGTACCACTGGGGACAATCAAAGAGCTCTTGGAGCTTACTTCTGAATGAAACTTAAGGCTCTTGCCTGTTTTCATTCTTAATAATGACGGTGAGTCAGTTGAAAGCAAACTTGACCAGTCAAACTTTTACCCAAAGCCTTGAAGAGTTTTTTCCTGCAAGTTGCAACATACCTGTCCTCCAAATCTTGTATATCCTTCAACAGTTTCTTCTTCTCTTCAGTTAAGTTAATAACCTTCTCCTCTTCTTCATCGAACCGCTCCATCTGATCGTTCAACAACTCCTCCAGCTCCTGTTTTCGGGCTTGAAGTCTTTGGCGCATGTCATCAGCCTCTTGAAATGCGTCACGCTCTCGGTCATACTGCTCCTGTAAGATGTCCTTCTCCTCAGAAATCTGCTGGAATTTCTTGTCCAATTCATTGTAAGCCGCCTCGGTCTTGTCAAGCTTTTCTTCGTTGGCCTTCTTCAAATCCAACGCCTCGCGCAAGGCTTCGTCTGTCCTCGTCACATTGAGCAGCGGTTTGACTTTCGTGAACAGGCGCCACCATTGCCAGTTGCGCAGTTTAAGGTAGCTGAGGCAATTCCTCTGGATAACACGAATAGCACTGAGTTGTTGAACCCTCTTGTTGTAGTGCTTCCTTGCAATGTTGCCGCGGCAGTAGGCTTGGAAAATGGTGATGATCTCCGTCAATTTCAAGTCACGTTCTTCTTCCAAGTGAGCCAACACCCCCGCCCTGAAGAAGATCTTGGACTGGCCAATGCGATAGGAATTTGTATCCAGTTCTAGGATCTCCAACTAACAAAGAAAGCATGAGCATCTTGAGAAAATGTGTCGGATTAAATGAATTTCAAAAACTGGAAAATTAAAAGAAATCAAAGTTGTTCCCTTTTTTCAGGACTCTTCCCAAGGTTAAAATTGATTTTTAAAAACCAGTGTTTCGGCAAGTTTGATATGCCTTGTTCAGTTCATATTGCAAAAAAAACAAAAAACAAAAAAAAACAAAAAAAAAGCACAGTAGTCCACCAAGTCATCTTGACTTTTTATTTCTCTCAATTCCTGAACCAGTCGAGTCAAACTTGCCGAAATGTCGGTTATAAAAATCAGGCAAAAGTTTCAGAGATACAGTTAATAGAAATGTCAATTCAGTCTGATCAAGAGAAAACAACTCTAACACACCATTTTCTGACAGGCTTTTCGTCCGTCCATGAAGCCTTTGGGGATAGCACTTGGTGTCAGCAGCTCATACCTTGAAAGAGAGAAAAGACATGAATTACCAAACTTGGTGAGAGAGAAACAAGTCTGAAGCCAGTTTCTCAACGGTGCACTGTAATATCGATAGTTACTGGATCACCTTAGAAACCGGAAGCGTCTCATGACAATGGTCCCCACGAGAGAGGTACTAAAGTTTCCAAACCCAAAACAAGCCTCACCAGTGGTGTTCACGTACAGTGTTTTGCATCTCATCTATCGAGATCTAATTTGCATCTCTGGAAAATCGTAGCCAGATAGCAACCAATAAGAGGCTCAGCAGAGTTATGTCATCAGAACATAACTTTTCAACTTGACTCCTCAGCCATTCTTTCTTCAATAAATTGGGCTTGTCATGCAATGATTGCATGAGGAGCCCAAAGAGGGTCTGCATGGGAGGCTAACCTGATTTCGAAGAGTGCGAGATAGACTTGTGTACTTACAACAGCAAAGAACTTTAAGAAAGTCTAAGTAAAGGTTAAATACCTTTGCTTGAACTCCTGGAAAAGCATCCTGTTAGGGAAACCTTGTCGACAGATTCTGATACCTTCCAGTACACCATTACACCTCAGTTGGTCCAACACAAGTTGTGCAGCAATCTTGCCAGCCTTGTGGAAAAGAGAAAGAAACCATTGTCATTACCAGGAATGTGTTATGAATGCAATAGTTATCTCTAAAATCTGCTTCTAATGTGGCAAAAATTTTGGTGGCTTGTTTAAGCCTGGTTTAACAGGTAAAGGTAGGCCATTTGTAAAGTCTGCATACAAGCCAAGTGGTCCATCAGGCCAGTACTTATCTTTGGTTTCTGAATCATGAAGTGACTGAGAGGTATTTCTACTCCTCCTTGGATGGGATGCTAGTCTGTAGGGTTACCCCCAGCATTAAATTTGCCGGGTGTCCATTTATACATCTGGGTGGAGAGAGGCACTGTTATAGTAAACATTCTTGCCCAAGAACACAACACAATGTCCCCAGCCAGGGGTCAAACCCAGAATGCTCAATCCGGAGTCAAGCACACATACCATGAGGCCACCCCACCTCCCACAGTGGCTAGTTTCAGCCAGGATTAACAGGGGGTTTACTGTAAATATAGCTGAGAATTCAGCATGTACTTACTTTCTTCTCGTGATTTGGAATAATACACCTGACAAAGTTAGGATTGGTGTTGTGCAGAACCACCATCAGTTTTGAGAGTTGTTCCTGAAGACAAAAGTGCAAGTTAAAATAATACGAACTTGGGATGAATATGCCAAACAATTTGACGTAAGTTGGAAAAGAGCCCAAATGAATCCAACTTCTCACAAACCTTGTACAACTGGCTGACAGTACGGAACATTCCCTTGCGCACTTTGCTTCCAAAAGGAGTCTCACTCTGAGCTGCATTCATGCTGACAATGTTTTCTGTAGACAAAAAAAATTCACATATGCCAATTCTCCTGACTGTTTCCAACATATCTGGTGAAGAATATGTTCTGAAAATCTGCTAGTTTATCAAGACAGTAGCCCAACTGTTCTGAATGGTTGCAGGTGAAACATTCACAACATGACAAGGGCAAGGACTTCCAATCTTATGAAACATGTAACAAATAAACATGAAAACTGTATTTGCATGATGCAATGACGTTTTCTGGGTCAAGCTAAGACATTTTGGCCAATCACAGCACAATTTCAAAGAAAACAAATAGAAGTTTGTTGGTGGTCAGGCCAAACATGCTTGAGAAGTACAAGGCTACTTACATTCAAGCTTTCAAGACGGCACAGAGAAAACAACTTAGCACAATACAGCAACATTTGAGGCCAGCAGCAAAACAATGTCATTTAGTCATGTCACCAAGTTCTTATTTTCAATCCCATATTAAAAACAGTTATTCCCCTTACTGATTGCTGTAAGTTGTGAGAATTTAGTGGTAGATCAAGAGAATTGTAATCATCTATCCAAAAGAGCACCAATAGACATTGTCCAAAAAAATGAGACATTGATCCCATTAAGGCCTTCGAAGATTCAATATTGAAATACCTGAATCTTTCCACAGCTGGCCAACAAAAGTATCAGAGGAATTCTGTAGTAATGCAATGATGTTGTCGTTAAGGGGATCCATGTTTTTCATCAGCCATTGTGAGGTGTTGTAGTCGACCTGTGTACAGTTCAAACATTGTATGTGTGAAAAACAGAAGTCACTCAATGTTGCTGAAAAGAACTTTTAGGCTTTTTCCAAGCAGATGATTTTATTATATCCACTCTTGCAACTCTGGAATAATTTCCCCTGAGCACGTACATGGTCTGAAAGATGTCTGTCAACAGCACAAAATCTCGACAAAAAACGTTTCCTGAATGCTGTTACCAAAATTTTCTTAAGTCTGACAAGACTGAAGGAAAAGAATTTTCCTCACCAAAGCCAACTTTGAAAACTGTACCACCGGTGCAATAATCACAATCAATTAATCATCACAGGGACGCAAGAATGTGACTGGCCCTTTAACACCCAAGATGTACTCAAGCTGATAGACTGTCTATCATTGTTCATTGAGAGGTACAACAGGTGTAAAGCCAATATTTATGCAACTTACCCTGCCAGCGTAGTGGATCACAGAGAAATTAGCTTCTGAACGGAACTCCGGGATCTTGAACTTTTGATGTTTAGAATGTTCTTTGATGACCTTGTCCACGTACGATTTGTCTGTAGCTTTTGGGAACCAGCACTCTTCATCTAGCAGAGCCATCAGGCCCATGGGCTACAATCAAACACAAAAGGTAAAGTGAAGCCTTGGAGCCGAATGGCTCATAGCTGCTGGAGCTTATCCCAGTTTCTGTAGCATGAAGTGGCAAGGAGTATTTCTACTTCCCCTAGATGGGATGCTAGTCCATTGCAGGTTACTTCCCCACAATTTGTTAGGTTTCCCCAACAATTCGTCGGTACCCATTTATACTCCTGGGTGGAGAGAGACACTGTGAGAGGTAAGTGTCTTGCCCAAGAACACAACACAGTGTCCCCAGCCAAAGCTCGAACCCGGACCGCTCGCTCCGGGGACGAGGCCACGAGGCCACCGCGCCTCCCACAATCAAACACAAGCAAGACAATTTTTTGAAAACACTAGTAAAACAAGAGCACTCACTTGACTGACTAACTGAATGTAGTTTCTCAAACACATTGCAACAGGGGACTTTAGATTTGTGTGCAAGAGATAGAGTGCTAGAACGACTTTTCAATTTTCTAATTTGCAGGCTTCACACTATCAGGTTGCATTGCCATGTGATCCCATGAGCTACCCTCTCTACCTAAAATCCATGAATGACAAGCGAGGACTCCGGAAACGTCACTGGTTTGAAAATTGGAAAATCGTACTCCTATTCAATCTTGTACTTGTAGTCCAATCTAAAGGTCCCTAATAATACATCAACTTAAACAAAGGAAACCGTAACCATGATGGTGTTTGTATATTTTCTGATCTTAATTAGCCTAGATTTTTACAATTTTATTCTTCAGTTTTTTCTAACTGAGAAGGCATATCAAGCAACTGAAACCTTGTTTGACCACATTTCCAGCCTCCTTGAAGTTTGTCACAAATACTCTGGAGTGCATCATATTTTCAACCCCCTTCTCAGTGTTTGGAAATGAGATCAAAAATGTGCTCTCATGTTTGATTTATAATGTCTGACCCTGAGTGACAGGGAGCTACACTGTATTACTTACAGTAGCCATGCAGAAAGCAGCCAAAATATATCATAACACAGGGCTTGAAANGAGAGACACTGTGAGAGGTAAGTGTCTTGCCCAAGAACACAACACAGTGTCCCCGGCCAAAGCTCGAACCAGGAATGTAGTTTCTCAAACACATTGCAACAGGGGACTTTAGATTTGTGTACAAGAGATAGAGTGCTAGAACGACTTTTCAATTTTCCAATTTGCAGGCTTCACACTATCAGGTTGCATTGCCATGTGATCCCATGAGCTACCCTCTCTACCTAAAAACCATGAACATGACAAGCGAGGACTCTGGAAACATCACTGGTTTGAAAATTGGAAAATCGTACTCCTATTCAATCTTGTACTTACAAGTAGTCCAATCTAAAGGTCCCTGATAATACATCAAGTTAAACAAAGGAAACCGTAACCATGACAGTGTTTGTATATTTTCTGATCTTAATTAGCCTAGATTTTTACAATTTGATTCTTCAGTTTTTTCTAACTGAGAAGGCATATCAAGCAACTGAAACCTTGTTTGACCACATTTCCAGCCTCCTTGAAGTTTGTCACAAATACTCTGGAGTGCATCATATTTTCAACCCCCTTCTCAGTGTTTGGAAATGAGATCAAAAATGTGCTCTCATGTTTGATTTATAATGTCTGACCCTGAGTGACAGGGAGCTACACTGTATTACTTACAGTAGCCATGCAGAAAGCAGCCAAAATATATCATAACACAGGGCTTGAAATAATTTTCCGGCTGGCACCAGTCAAGTTGGTTGGTGAAATCTATTGTTGCTCGGACAAGAAAAGATTTTGCCCGGACAAATATGCATTACGTAATAACTCTTACAAAGTGCTTCTTCCCCCACAGCATGATGCTTAAATATTCAGCAAGTACATTTAGTGAGCCTTTATTGGAGGAGTAGCTGATATTTAATACAAAAAGTACAAAATACACAGCATAGCCGCAATGTACAGTAAAATCAATTTAATTACACTTTTGCACCCCACTATCGCTTCCTATCGCTTCTATTCAATTTTTATTCAAGCTAAAGTGATTCACACAAATTTATTTGTTACTTTTTATTTCACCTTAATATTAAGGCATTAAGTTTTAAGATACATGTTTGGTTTGAATTTATATTAGAGGGTAGCCCGGACCTTTGTACCTGACACTTTAAGAGGCATCGCTTCCCACATTACCTGTAGGCAGGGTTCGTACCCTTTTTCAGAAACAAATTTCCAGGACTTTTCCAGGACTCAGATTGATTTTTCCAGGACTCNAGTGACAGGGAGCTACACTGTATTACTTACAGTAGCCATGCAGAAAGCAGCCAAAATATATCATAACACAGGGCTTGAAACAATTTTCCGGCTGGCACCAGTCAAGTCGGTTGGTGAAATCTATTGTTGCTCGGACAAGAAAAGATTTTGCCCAGACAAATATGCATTACGTAATAACTCTTACAAAGTGCTTCTTCCCCCACAGCATTATGCTTAAATATTCAGCAAGTACATTTAGTGAGCCTTTATTGGAGGAGTAGCTCATATTTAATACAATAAGTACAAAATACACAGCATAGCCGCAATGTACAGTAAAATCAATTTAATTACACTTTTGCATCCCACTATCACTTCCTATCGCTTCTATTCAATTTTTATTCAACCTAAAGTGATTCACACAAATTTATTTGTTACTTTTTATTTCACCTTAATATTAAGGCCTTAAGTTTTAAGATACATGTTTGGTTTGAATTTATATTAGAGGGTAGCCCGGACCTTTGTACCTGACACTTTAAGAGGCATCGCTTCCCACATTACCTGTAGGCAGGGTTCGTACCCTTTTTCAGAAACAAATTTCCAGGACTTTTCCAGGACTCAGATTGATTTTTCCAGGACTCTAAAATTCACATTGACTCTTTCACTCCCAAGATCTCAATTTTAATTTTCCTTGCTGTCTGCCATACATTTCACATTTTTTACTTGAGTTTAACAGATTTCCAGCACTTTCCAGGACCAATAGCCCTTTCCAGGACTGAAAAGTCCTGAAAAATGCCACAGTAAAATTCCAGGACTTTCCAGGTTTTCCAGGACCTGTACAAACCCTGTGTAGGTCGCAAGGTTAGTTAGCAGCAAATTCCACAGGGAGAATAAGGATTAAAGTCAAACCTCCCCACAACAGCCAACTTGGGGAGAGAGGAAAGTTGCCATCGTAAAGAGGTGAACAAAATCAATTTTTGACCAGACATTGTCCGTTGACCGGCCGTTATTCCAAGCCCTGTAACATCAACAGCACTATACAAACCTTTTCTAACAAATCAATGCATGGTTGTAGATCCAATCCAAAGTCAATGAACTTCCAGTCAATTCCCTCTTTCCTGTACTCTTCCTGTTGTAACCAATCAAGAGTCACACAAAGTTAGGGCATACATGACACTCGCAAGGTCTGCTCTGTGGCTTGGGCAGACCATCTCTCAGCTTAATGTTGTGTAAGATGAAATGACACCTGTACTGTAATTTTTTGTTGCTACATTATTTGGTTAAATAACAATTTGCCAGCATCCAAATACTCCTACACAGAAGGTGTAAGTGCTGTGAAAAGTAACATGTTTTGCACATGAGTACAACTTGATCCAAGATTTTAAGATCTAGATTTTAAGAGACTTGCAGATTAGACCACTGAGCCTCGGCCTAAAATACCATACTTGAAAATAAAATGTCAACTCTGCATTGGTAATGTTGACAACTAATGACAAAGAATGTAAATAAGCACAGTACCTGTTCCAGAATGAACATGGTGTGATTGAAGAGCTGTTGCAGTTTTTCATTGGTATAGTTGATGCAGAGCTGCTCAAAGGAGTTCATCTGAAACAGACAATACAAAAAACATTTATTAATTGAGTTTAAGTCTGTATTACATTGTTCAGTTCCAGAAAATATCCATACTCCCCCCAACAGAAGGGATTGGAATTTCCTGGGGGAGGGGGTTCTGTAAGATCAAAAAATGTAAAGAAATGTATGAAGCTCAATCGGAATTTCCAGAGGGGTGGGGGGGACTTAGAAAAATTCCCTTCTGTGGGGGAGGTATGGATATTTTCTGGAACTACACATTGTAATAAACAGTATTTTGTGATAAATTATCCAACATGACAATCATGGCAATGAGTTTACCTGAAAGATTTCAAATCCTGCAATGTCGAGAATGCCAATGAATGAAGCACCTTCACGCTTTGTTCTATCAAGAGACTTGTTGATTCTTGACACGATCCATTTGAACATTCTCTCATAAAGAGACTTTGAGACAGCCTCAATGGCAAACTCTGCCTGTGAAATGAAAGAAGTTTTGATCAAACGGAGATAAAACACACACTGAAGCTCACAAACTTATCACTGGATACAGCCCTATAAAAATCTGTCAACAGCCAGCAATGTTACTGCCTACAGTATATCATGCAGGGGTTTCATTAAAGGCCAGGCACCAGGCAGGTTGACGGGCTGAGAAGATGATCTTACCCACCTGGTTTGACCATACAGAGAAAAGTGTTTCTTATTAAAAAGTCAAGTTCAAAAAGTTTTGCTACCTTGTAAAAAACCAGTTGCTCTCCTGCTGAAAACGTTAACAAAACCCCTGATCATGTGGCATCTGCTTCACTCTGGAGTTCACTAATCCGGACAAATAACAAACCTAATACTTCTGTTGACCTCTCTGCGACTACAAAACATTCTGACCGGGTGGTTAGATACCCCTTTCTGTAAGTACCCTCTTACAGGGCTTACCTGTGCTTTTGTTTGAGCTTTCTGCACATAGTCACGACCAACTTTCACTCTTGGTTTTAGAACTGCCTTTGAAAACTCAGTGACTGGAATGCCAAGCAAATGGCAAACTTTCTGAGCAACTATAAGCAGAAGGAAAGTAAATAGAGATGGAATAAGTCGGGTGAATACTCATTTGCCCTGCTGATTGCAAAATGCAATATATTTCTTTTAATGGGTCATGTAGATCTAAGAATTTGGCACTACATCAAGACAATATTCCCTCATTGATATATAGTTTTCTTAATTTGCTCTATCTGTTAAATGAATGTTGAATGCAAGTATTGATGTGGACACTGCAGAACCTGAATTAAATGCAAGGAAAAAACTGCTGACCTTCATTGCTTGGCATGATGGCTTGTTCTGAGCTTCTCTCTTGCTTGAAGACCATGTTGCCAAACTGAAGGACAGCAGACACTACACGGAAAAGGGCTTAAGAGGAAATAACATAAAATAACATTAGCAAAGATGCCGCAGATAAGCAAATGGATACAGTATAAACTAGTGTGGGCACTTCAGTGAGAGATGGAAGGAGTGAGAAGGCAAGCGAGCAATAGAGGGAGTGCAAGAGTGAGGGAGGAATAGGGTAATAAAAGAAGGGGAAAGAGAAAGAGAGCAAAAAAGACGGCAGGAGTTATGGAGAGAGAGCGAGAGAGGTGTAACGAAAGATAACGGTAAAATGTTGTCTTTAATGGCGCACAAACAGCGCTAGCCGTTACATTGCAAAACTGACCGCAAGACGCATAAATTATAAGACTGCATCTTAAATACCGCACATGNGTCCCCACAACCCTCCCAGGTTCTGATCATCTGTGCTGATGATCCTTGTTGTGTATTAATGTAATATATCAAACATGAGAGACACTGTTTCATCAAGTATCCAAAAACCAAGAGAGCTAAAGACGACGAGCAGCGGAGTATTTTGACAAAATTGGAGGTGTTTGGAAAGCCGATGAAACACTGTCTCGAGTGTTTGATATATCCTCTCAATCAAAACAAAAACTAAGGGGTAAACGGAGAAGTAAACTCATTAAAATCTATGCTAATTAAAACTGGGTATTCAAACCTCCTTATTGGTTGTGATTTTCTTTGTTTTAACTTGATTAATTATTTATGTCTTGAGAAAGACAGCTTCAATTCTCCAGGGGTGAAAGTGTCTTAACCAATACATATCGCTTCAAAATTTACAGCAAAGTGCTATCACCAGGAGCAAAGTTCAGTCAATTCTCAGCAATTCATGTTATTTACTTTGATTTGCTTGTGCAGATACTGCTCTTAGTTCCATCTGAGGTTTTCCTTTCTATTTGGTACCTTGAAAATTGTGGATCTTGGAAACTTTAAATCCAATCTCAGAATGCTTTCCAATGAGAATGAGTCATTTTGATTTGTTTTGCTTTGGTTTTTCCTTTTTTATTTATTTGGTTTTGTTTCTCAGGTGCTTATAAATAAATATGATGATCAGTAATCATTTACTTTGAAAATAGCCGTTCAACACTGAGATATACCCTGCTTATGATTCATGATGGACTAAAGTTAATTTTAACATGACACTTACATGTACATGTAGCCTTCTTTCATCTTTTGACATTTTCAATGCAAACCAACTTACCTTTGGTCTTTTTGTCCAATCCATTCAGAACTTGGTAGAAAATGTGAAAGCATCTTTCATTTGGTGCTTGTCGTACCGCACGAGACTTTTCAAGCAGGTCTTATGCCACAAGTCAAGGGTAAATGGTTTCCTGAGACTTTCCACAAAGAACTAGTAAGCTTTATAACTGGGAATTCAGCTAGACCAAAATGAATGAGGAATGATCCTAAAATATCCGTGTGTTGTCAAATCATCAAATAAATGTAAGATGTATATGTTTTATTTAAAAGATGGTGAAAATGGTGGGAACAAAATTATTTAAACAAAACTATATTGTACATCACATTTCACTCCTGCGTTTCTAGCAAACATGAAAAACAGTGATCACATTTATGTGCAGTGAAACTCTGAATGCTTAATCCCAGAGAACTGCTTTACAAAACTACTTTGTAGGATCCTTTCAAGAAGATATTAACAATTTTCTAAAGGATACAAGATTCAATGTTGGCACCAGCAATGAATCCTGATGCGTCAAAGTTGATTCTGATGAACTTTCCCTGTGAAACAAGAACATTGGCCAGATTAAACTCTGACTTAATTAGTGCAGAATGCAATTTATTACCTTATTTCTATTACTAAGCAAGACTCGAAAAAACTTGAATTCCAGCTTGCCCTTGGGACAAGTAGCTCTAAAATTATGTTTTGGTTAAGCAAATCATAGTTTGCTCTTTTAATGATTTAGTTGGCAGGCTACTTGACTGATCCCTTGCCCATCGGGAAAGTGTGAGTGAAAAGTTATTTGCCCAGAAGGAGAATCTACTTGTCCCAGATGACCAAATGACACTTTTTTTGAGCCTTGCTAAGATTTGCTGAAGCTTACACATGAATAAGACAGTTAAAATTAAGATAAATTGTAATTAAGTTTCAATGATGTGGTAGAAACAAATAAAGTAGGTGAACAGTGTAAACAGAAAACTTACAAAACGTGATGAGTTGTCATTCTTCACTGTCTTAGCATTTCCAAAGGCTTCTAAGATGGGGTTAGCTGCCAGAAGTTGCCTTTCCAACTCAACCTTACAAGACAGAGCAAGTATCATTTATTAAACACTTAATCTACCAATGACAAACACCTGAAAAAGTAGAGCACATTTTTAAACAACTCCAGAATAATAATATCTTCTCTACATTATAGCATCAAACCCACACATCTCAAAAGCCAATAGTTCAGCAGTCACGTAACTAGCACCATTAAGTTCCTTTTGTGCACATGGATGGACAACGCAGTCAAGATCCATAAACATGCCCAAAATGAACAAGGACAATATCCAGCCATGTTCATCGAGGAAGCTTGACCAATAAAAAAATAATTATATGGCATTAAAAAACACCATTTGCTGGCAAGACACAGTGGGTAATCCCAAGCAGGCCAGATGGATTTTTTTGTCCGCTCAAGTAGCCACTTGCACTGCAGGATCTGGTTTGTGTTGTCCTCTCATAGAGCTAGCCAATAATAACACACCATTAATAGCTTCTCGAAACTATAATTTGGCAGAGAGGTGTATTAAAAGGTATCTAGAAGGTAATCTGGATGAGCCACATCTTTCAGACTACAAAAACTCTTGAAGGTATACAGTAATCTGTAGGGTTATCAGATGTAAAATACTCACCTGGCTGTGAGAAATTCCAACCTTTGTGCTAACTGCAGAACTAGTAGACCCAGATTTCTTTGGAGTTTGAGCTGCTTTGGTATGGGAGTGGCCAGCTACTGAAGCCAAGTATTGAATTACTTTCTTGGTGTTTTCTGTTTTTCCAGCACCAGACTCTCCACTGAATACACAAATACGGCAAAAAAAATCACTACCTGACACCCTAAAGAATTTACAAGGGATCAACTTTTTACAGTATCAATATGAGAGCAAAAAATAACACAAAACTAGCCAGCGTAAATTGTCATGTGATTGTCTACTTTGACAAATTCTAAGAACCATCATAGGGATTAATAGGATGAAAAAAGTAAAATTTATTTCACAGTAAATATATAATTGTGTGGAACACTAGCTAGTGCTGAAATAGCTGTGATATAATTATTTTGGCTCTTGAAAACAGCCATCTATCATCTTCAATTTGAGTGAGATATTCTCACAAATTTGCAGCACTTTGCGACAATGAGTGAGTGACACATGCTCATGACTCAAATAAACAAATTGTGTGTCAAAGGTCACTCTTAGAATGTACGTGCAAGCACATTGTGCNACAAAGACAGACAGTGAAATTAATTACTCATTCCTGGCAAAATATCAAACCCTAAAACAATTTTAAGCAATCATGTGTTTTTCCAAACATAAATAACAAGTCTTCAGAGGGTGGTATAATAATTATGGCAACCTCGGAAGACTTGATAGCTAAGAGGAAGACAACAATTACATCAAGAGGTGTGATACCTATTGGAAAAGCTCATTGCAAACCACAAGGTCTAAACTTTTGCTTTCCAACACAGTTACTCCAAAAACACTTTGGTATAAAAGGTAAAGGTAAAGTCTGCATACGAGCCAAGTGGCCCACCAGGCCGGAGCTTATCCCGTTTTCCTCAGCATAAGGCGACTAGGAGTATTTCTATTCCCCCCTGGATGGGATGCTTGTCCATCGCAGGGTCACCCCCAGGATTACATTCGCCAGTACCCATTTATACACCTGGGTGGAGAGAGGCACTGTGAGAGTTAAGTGTCTTGCCCAAGAACAAAACACAATGTCCCCCCGGCCAGGGTTCGAACCCGAACCACTTGATCCGGAGATGAGCGCACTGACCATGAGGCCACTGCACCTCCACACTTTGGTGTAAAAGACTTGTCTTAAATTGTGACGTCTTTATGCTGGTATATAAGTTACCATGGTAATACTAAAAGAGGTCACATATTCAATTCTTGCTCTTGAGACAAATAAATTTGAAACAATTCCCAGAAAGCTTTCCTCAGTGTCTAATCTAGTATATGACTGAACAACTATTCTGAAGCAGGTAAGATTAGGATAGGATAGGTTACTTTAATTAAAGTGGCAATATGCTTAGCCATGTGGCTAGTTTACAGATGTCCCACTACCAAAATTAACATAACTAACTACCATAATGATGGCATTATCTAAATTCCGTAATGATGATATTATCAATTGCATTCACAGATTTCTTTCCTGCTACAAAATGTTGGCTTAAAACTCTTCAGCAGAAGGAGGGGTAACAATCAAGAGGGCATCTGAAGGGATAGAATGGGAACAGGATCATTTGTCTAGTTTTTCCACTGGGAAAAAGGGATTTGGGTGACATGGGGAAGAAAACACAAACAAACAAATGGGAAGGACACTGGGAAGTGGGGTTTACATTCCTGACATTCAGTTTGTCCAAGATTCAAATGTCTAAAAATTTTCAAAGACAAAGTAAGAGAAAAAAGAAAGAGACAAAGAATCAAGGAAAATTGTACATATAAAGAAATCTAAAAAAGGGACAGTCATTTTTTCAACAAAAATCAACTACTACAAAAGGCAATAGCTCAAAAAGCAATTTAGTTAGAAAAAGTCAAAAGAAAGAAAGCATTATTTAGATAATAAACAAATCAGAAATAGCAAGTTTTAATGCCCAGGTATACAAAAATTAAATTCAAAAGAATCAAGACAGTGACACTACCAAAATTACTACTTTCCCAATCCATATAAAGAAATCTAAAATTAATAAAGTTCTCATTCATTCATTCATTCAATCAAGAAAGCATCTCATTACTGCCCTGTTTACCTACTGCACGATACATGTAGATGAAAAAAGCTCATCTAATTGGAAAGATAACACAATCCCTTCATATAATTATGTACATTGTTCCCTGGATGTCATTAACTTAGCAATGTGAAAATTTGTGGAATGACTGGCAAAACGAGACTAAGCTTTCTAAAATACTCTGCCAGACAGACGATACTTGATTCATTGCCTCTTGAATCTTTCATGTCCTTGTGTACCGTTAGGCGTTACCTGGGCCCTATCCAATATCCTTATCAGCAAAACACAACCTTGATTACATTGGTAATAAATAAGTGTTGTTCTCCATAAGAAATGGCACATTTACTTGATGATTCCAAAGAGTTAGTTTCATATGTAGTGGGGAAGTATTCATAAGGATAAGCTACCAGTAAAACCTTCTGTTTACATTTTGCATTGTATCAGCTCAATAAAATACATTTAACCCCTACTAAGAAATTTGAATTGTATGATAAGAAACTTTTCATGTATAGAGAGCAATGTATATCCTTCATTCAACAGCGATACATGTGTAAAAATACACAAGATGAACTAGGATATTTAAAATCAACAGTGGCTAGATTCAAGGACACAACTTGGTAGAATTTTATGTGCTAGATTAAGACAAAATAGCATTGAAACCAGAAAAATGTGGATTTCAAGCGACAGATCTTAAGTACAATTGACTGATGCAGTTGAAAGTTTAGACCTTCGCCCAAAATTATTTCAGTCCTTTGATCTGTTATTCAGAAAACCCACAAAAAGGGCAACAAGCTCAAAATTATATTGCATGACGTACTGATTTCGCGTTTGTGCATAACGAAAACAAGTTGTATTTAGCTTAATTTTAATCACAAGTTTGCTCATCTACAAAGTCTAAACGTTCGAAATGGAAATCGACAACCATCACGCAAGTTAGAATGCACATTACGCGCGCCGACACGCATAGCAAATGGAATGAAGAACTCTTTTTACCATAAACAACTGAAGTGAACCAAATAGCTACTTAAGTAAACACGTATTTATTAACAAGGGGAGGAGGGGTAAAATAAACCGTTCTGTGCAAAAGGAATGCCCACTGCGAACAGTACCATGCATGAGCAGCGCGGAGATAGCGACGATTTGGTGAATAAAAGAACTTATAATGCTCACCCATAATCTGTCTATTAAATATCGAGACAAAATGAACAAAAGGACTGTTTTCAAAACCCAGGCATTAACATTTCCCATTGCTAAATGACACTGTTTTAATAATTCCGGAGGGCAGCACGTAAATATAATGAGAGTCGCGAAGCGGGCTTTGAGTTTCTCATCGATAACTTAAATGCACTTTGGAGGATTTTTCTGCGTACGACAAGGCATACACGAGGAACGTTATTATGCTAAAATTCTATAAAAACAAATTATGAAAATGTCTCCCAAGCGGCGAGAATATTATAATGGATCGATCCGTGGAGATAATTGTCCAATATTTTAATCTGAAGGGCTGTTTGCGTGGAATAAATCATCGAGTGTGCAAAAACGCTACCTAGCAGGATTTTTGGTTTTGGTATTATAATATCGATGGCTTGAAATAGAGAGTTTATTTATGAGCCTACCTTGAAGCATGCTACGATATGCATTATCTGTTATGGCGTAGATATGCGGTGGTACTTCATGTCTTTTCTTCCCACGATACATATCGACCACTTTGTCAGTGTAAATAGGCAAGCGTTTGTAAGGGTTCACAACCACGCAGAAAAGACCCGAGTATGTCTGTGGAAAATAATAATATAACGATTAGAGTTTACAACAACAATGATCGACTGCTAGTAAGCTGAAGTAGGAATGATTCGACGGTGAACTTCCGGTGAGACTTGGAACTCACTCGCCATTGTTAAGCTTATATCAAACTAACGCTACAACAAGGCGAACGAGACGTGTTAAGAATAATAAATCGCTTACATAGATAAGCCCAGAGTAGTATCTGTCCTTCAGGTTATGCAGCACACTAGCTTCGTTCAAACAGGTCAAGTCGGCCATGTCTTCCACCTTCTCGAATTTGGGTGGGTTCATCTTTTGGATATCATCCTTGTTCACCGTCTTTCGTTTTCCACCTTCCAATTCCACAACGACAGCGTCTTTCTTGTCATCTTTGACGCTCGCAGCCACAAATCCGTGTTCATCGTCTGGAATCCACACCAGCTTTTTCGCTGTCCACTTGGCCTGAGCCGCAGGATCAGCAATGGTTGCCCGATCCACGGCCAAATATTTCATCTCGTTCTCCATGTTTGATGAGCGTTTCACCGCGAGCCGAGCTCAGCAAACCGCACTTTCAACTTTCGTTTTGATACAGACGATGCCGTGTCCCTCAAACCGGTCTCGAACAAGGAAAAATAAAGGAAAACCCACCAGTTTAGGTTATTTCTAAGAGAGTCCACCGAGGAACTCACCGACGAGATGTGATAGCCTCACCCCCGTGACATGACGTCACAGGTCATACGTGATTGGCCGAATCGCACGCACAACATTTATTTCATCCATCGTGGACGGAAGAAAAATTATATTCACAAAACGTAAAACTTCTGTTTCCATTCCCAATTACTACCTTCTCGTTTCGCAAAGATGCAATATTTTCTTAAATAAGATGACAAATGGGGAATGTTATCTGGTATAGAGTTTTAATAAGACTTTATTCGCGAACTTTCATTGCGTTACTTCCAGTTCTGGTTGAATAATTTCTGGTTCATTCAGTCAACCTTGACATTACAGACACACCTCTTGAAAAACTTTCAAAAAAACTGTTCTTACTTCAATCTTTGGAAAGAGATATTAGCAATCTCAATAAAATATCAAATCATAACAAATCAAAAGAAACTATCATACACAATCACTTTTGCTGTGCAACAATGAACAAAGAAAGTATGTCAAAGAATTGCGTTATCACAATTGGAATTTTGACAATTTCAACCTGTATCCTTCCGTTTAAATGGCAACTATTTAGAAAACGTAAGAAATTTTTGATTAATATTCATGAGAAATTTCAGTCTGTCAGTGATCTCACAACTTATGTAACATCACTTTTTCGATATTTCGGTCGAATCGCCACAGACGTTTCGCTGTGTTGGTCAATACCATTTATGGCCATTAGATGTCGGCCATGTCCGATGAGGTCATGCTTCGAAAACAAACAAACCACGCCGAGTATTTTCCGGGAATCCGGCCGCGATTTCCCAAATTATTTCCACTCGTCATGATACCAGTTCTTCACTGAACTACAAAGTAAAGGAAACCTACATGACTCAGGGAAACTATTTTTAGCATCGTATGCTGGTGTAAGAAGAGAGCAGATTTCGTGTATCCGGTAAAATATACTGATTATGCCTCAGTGCGACGGGCAGACGGATAATCCTCCTGAATCTAATAAACCAAAATCTAAGCTTTGATCACGTTCTGTTAAGGTAAAATCTAACCAATACCAAGGTGAAAAAAATTTTACCATGTTCAGGGCTGCGATTTAATTCAACACGTTAAAGAGTGTGGGAATTTCGGAGTTGTCGGAACTTGCTCGAAATCTTCCAGAACAGCTCAACACCTCCCCCATTCCCCTTTCATCTCTGTCATTAAGGTTATCAAAACGAGGTAAGCGGATAATCTAGCAAAAAAATTCAGTCCTAGGATATATCGATGTTTAATTTCCTATGAAAATATTAATGCGAAGTCCAACACGTAGAACTGAAAGAATTGAGACTCGCCGTTCAGAATTCGAAATTTCTCCGAAACTATACATATTGTACTGAGCCGTCACTGGTATCGACCCAAACCCTTTGCGGTTCTAACTTTTAAAGACCAAGTGGCCGAATACAGCCGGTAAGGTCAGTATAAGAGATTTATTGCACGATTTAAAGAGCGACTGATCACGAAAGATTTGTATTTATGTACCCGCGGTCCAATACTTAGAAAATATTGGACCGGGAATAAATTAAAGCTCTCTGATTCGTTGATTCAAATTATTAGCCCCAAGCTTGATCAGTAATGCAAGAGAAGCACGTAGAAGAATAACGGTCACAAGTTGAACAGGAAATGATCGTCTGCAGAACAGGTGGATTAGCGGGGCAGAGAGCAAAACGCGATACACGAGCGCGGAGCGCGAGACGAAATAAATTCGGATGGTTTTCCTCTCGCGCTTCGCGCTCGTGTATCGCATTTCGCTCTCTGACGCGCTAATCCGCCTGTTCTGCAGGCTAGGAAATGAAACCTTTTTGCAGTGTCAAACGCTAAAAATCTGAATATAGAGAATAACTGCATAGATTAAAACTAAATTTGAAAACAACGTTCAATAGAATGCTAAAAGTGCTAATGTTAATGGCTGTGGTCACGTCTTGAGGTCACATCAACACAGTTAACTATGACGTCAGAGAGAACAGTAGTTATCGCTCGGTTGCAGTCGACCCTGGAGCCGGAGGGTGCGTTCCTTTGGGGTGATCTGGGTGCTCATAGCCTGCAATACAGGCGTATATTGGCGAGCGAGCGCATTATGATCAAGCGAGCGCCAGTTTGGATCAAACTCGTAAGAGGCTTACTGTGGGGAAAGACGAAACGGTGTCCAAGGGAGTAGGAATGACGCCCGGGGAGTGAGGCTAAAAGAGAAGTGAGGGGGGCGGGGAGAAGAAGGAAAATTACCTCCTTTTGACCACACCCCCACCTCTCACACTTTTCCTAAGACAACATGGTGGTGAATCTACTCGATCGTGAGCTAATACCGGTAACTCGTAAACACACGGAAAACGCCTCCACTGCAGGCTAAGTAGCTCATGGAATCCCTGTGAAATGAAAACATGGCTGACCAGTCGCCGGCGGTAGAAGGCTGCATTTTTTCACGCGTGGGTTTTGATTTCGCATTATGTTCATATATAGCACGTATACTTCGCTCAGAAAAAAAATCAAAGTCAAAGTGAAACGTTCTGCCCGCATAATAGCAAACGTGCCGGGTCTTTTTTCTTTTCCCTTTTTTTTTTTCAACCATTCAAATGCAAAAACAAAAACACATTTTACCTCATTAATCACACTGGACACGAACTGACTTCAAAATTTAAAGAACTTGTGAAACATAGTGATTGGTAAAATTTTTGGCTCTTTGGGTGTAATATTCCAGGAGAAATTGGCTTTCAAACATTGTAAAATTTCTGGATGGAAAAAGCGCCGATAAGCTCAGTACATTCTTTGTAAAGTTTTTAAACCCGCATCGCACAAAAATCATTCATTACATCGCACTCAAGTTCCTTGGGACAGTTTATGGTGCTTTGCCCTTTCAATATTCAGAACTAATGTTTTTGTAGCTCCATCAGAAACTGTATCGCTTATGCTAATGAGGTCAACATTGCAAACAAAAAGAAAGCAAAAGATGGGACTGTCCGTGTCCCAGTAACGGTCCCATAAGGAACTGTGAGCCGAGACCCGCCCCAGATTTCTTTTCGTTTCTAAAGTGGCTCATGGCTGCTTGCTTTTCCTCGAGACGCAGTTTAGTTTAGTGTGTTACCCTGCATCTTTTGATTGGCTAGCCGTGATTTTAATTTGGTTTCTACTGAAACCTTATAAAATCCCGCGCTCTTTCGCGTGATCGTATTCGGGATGTCCTTTATAATAAAGTTTCCATATAACGCGCGCTCTGATTGGCTGAAACAGCGTGTATTATCAGAGTACAGACGCACGGTAAGCTGAATTTCAAGTTTTTTTTTTGCTTCGGAACGTTGACAAATTTGACCCAAATAACGTTCCCTGTGACTCAGACAAACGCAATGGAAACAAGCTATTTTGCTACTCCTTTAAGAGCCGCTACACTGGGTTTTTATTCTCTCCATACGTAAGGGGAAAAACGGAGAAACGCTACTTGATGAATCGTTTTATCGAGTCTTTCAATCCTGGACATTACCAGTCTGACTTGAACATTGAAATAAAAATACAATTTAATAAAGAGTCATAAAATTGGAAATTAATGGTTCAGAAGCGCTTTCCATTTGATGAAAACTTCTGGTAACGAATAGAACAGCATGTTTTTAGAATTTCCAGAAAAGAGGACAATCTCGCGAGGCAAGCGAGGTATACTCAAATTTTCGCAAATTTCTTCCCGGTAGTTTCCGCTCCATTTGATTTTTCTCTCGGAATTTCCCACATTTACGGCTGGATGGTTCTCTTTTGGGAGATTGAACAATTTCGGGACGTATTGAAAATTTCCGTTCCATTCGTCCCCGTTTCGTAATTTTCGGTTGAATGGAAAGCGTCCCAGGTCAAGAACAGTTATGTCGCTATTCCTAATTAGCTGAAGTCATACAACTCCCCTTATAATGAGAGTATTCAGGAGGGAATCGCTACTCTATATCCGCCCGGGGGGACGGGAAGGGGGTAAACCAGGAAGCTTTTAACCAAGATTTCATCCCAGGGTAGGATGTCTGTACAATTGTTTTACAATCGCTCTCTAAGTGGTTCTTGAAACTCTTGAATAAATATAAAATCTTGCACTAAAACAAAGATTTTCACCACAACTGAAGAAAATTCTAAAAAAGTTCAAATGTTCACAGTCAACGTTATTTGTGCACGGCGGGTCAAACGTGGTTATTTCGAAATAAAAGCGACCCATACAATTACTTCCACAATAGCAGATTTGCACGTTGTCGTCATTTGACTACAACTGCCAGAATTCCTTTCGTTTTTTCTTTATTATTTAAATTTTGAATTCCCAGTGGGGTTTAAATAACAATTGCCCTAATTAGCATAAGAAACAGAAAAAGTGAAGGATTCTGGTAGTTGTAGTCAAATGATGCCACCATGCCAATCGCCTATTAGTTGTTGTTTTCGCCAGAATCCGCGAGCAAACGCGGAGAGGACAACGCGCGAGTGCTACTCGCGAGAATTCATGCATGGGCACCGAGAAAGGACCCGGAATTCCTTCCATATTACGCTTATCATCTCCAATTCTGTTTTACGTTCACTTGTAAAGTTTCTAAAAGAAATAAGCTCTACGATAACGGTAAAACTATTTAAAAAGACACTACATCTAAGCTGGTGTTTCGCCAGTCGCGTTGCTCGCCTTGTCCCAGCCATAAACATGGTCCTCCCCATGTTCAGCGACCTGCCGAAAGAAGTCTGTAAAATCCACATAAGGTTCTACCCGAGTGTCTTCACCACCCTCTTTACTTTGGCCCTCGCCGCCTGTTTCCTGACCATTCACGCTCGAGGTTCCTTCTCTAACTGCAGCAGGAGGCTCAACAGGAACTGAGGTCGAAGGAGATCCGCTTGCTGAAGAGGCAGAACTCTGAGTTTCGGACCGTGAACTTGTGACGGTGAACTGCGGTACATGGTTTGTAGGCGTGGAGGTAGTCGGACTCGGTGTACTTCCGCTCTGTGGCTTGGGTTGTTGTGCGCCGGGTGGTATGAACAGGGATGGGGCGCTTCCGGTCATGGGATTTGAAGGGTTGTACGGGACAGATACCGGTAGGACCCCGGGACTCACTGGAGGCATTCCTGCAAGGTAACATTACTAGACTGAAACTCAAGCACTATGAGATGATTTGACCATTTTTTATTCTCCGATGGTTACCTAAGTCATTCACCCGCGAACAGATACGAGGATAGGAATTTACAGCTGGAAGTTTCCCCCCCTCCCTTCCCACCCCTGCCAGCCCCCAACCCGTGCAGTACGGTATGTAATCCAAAAAAATTGCATGAGTTCAATTGACTAAGGCAAATGCAACATTAACTAGGGGCGCGGGAATTTTTCAAGTCACTGTACAAATTTGTAGATTCTTTAGAAGGTATCTCAACATTTAACGAGAAACTTCTTAACATCGTTGCAATCTATTCTTCAACTTCTAGTTAAATTCTTCTTCACCCTGATTAAGATCTTTACTGAAGAGTTTTGCATCACACACACTGTTACATGAACTTGAATTGTTTATCACTTGAAATCCAAGTGACCCAGTCCTACCGTCTATCGCTATCCGAATTTGAATTTGACTTTCGATTAGAGTTCTAACAATTTATCAACGTCTGCGTAACGGATTTTTAATTTTGTGCGAATCTATCAAACTGGAAGGACCCTCCAAAAAAGTCTGCATTATCTCAATGTACAGAAAAAGCCTGAGTCATCTGTCTTGGAGATGTGTCAGTTAAAGAGAATCATATTCTGTGCATTCAAAGGTTTCTTAATGAAATGGTGAGGTTAGTGAGTTTACACAAAGAACGTTTTGACATATTTAAGTGGCTGACAGGCGAGGTTCGATTTCTCCTAATTACCATCAAATGCGTCATTTACCTGTCATGGACTGTCTCCCAGTAGCCCTCGGACTCTTCATGCAGTTCGCAATCCCCTCCTTGAAAATTCGAATTAGTATCGTCATATCATCTCTCTTCTGGCACTTACTCATTTGATTCATGTATGTGTCATGATGTGCCCTGCCCACTCTATCCACCACAGCCTGGGCCACGCCTGTCAAGTTCTTTTGACACCGAAGTTCTTCAAAGACCAGGCGAATGACATCAAAATTGGAATTGTCCGTGTCTGTGGCTTCCTCTAACGACTTGTAAACTCCATCAGACATCAGGACCAAACAGAAGAAAGACTCGTCAATTGGAAATCCACCGCAAATGTGTGGTTCAGCAATCACTGGTTCTTCTGTGGCGGCACTAAAGAAATCAACAAAGGAAGTCAAGTGACAAGCTGATCATATCTTTGATGCCACATTGAAGTTACATTTCACTTATTTTATTATTTTCTGCCTCTCTAGAGCAATATTAGCCTGTGAACAGGCTCCCGCTGGAAGGGTTTGACGGCAGCTGGAAGGGCCGAGAAGGAACTGTCTGAGAGTGAAGTGACAAAGGAGGATGGGGTGGGGGTTGCAGCGTCTCCCCTCCTCTTCCTTCTCTCCTCTCCTTCTATCTCTCTCTCTCTCATCGCCCCAATCCTCGACTAGAGAGCCTGTTCACAGACTAGATATATTTTGCCACTTGATGCCAAACTACATTATATGCAAAGTAGCTGACTTTAAGGGCCTGATTACATGGCGAATTACAGCCCGGGCTGAAATCTCAGCCCGGCTTGGGGGGGCTGAAATTTTGTTGCGATTACATAACGAATTTCAGCCCGGGCTGAAATATTAGCCTCGGCGCCAAATATGAAATTTTGTGCGAAAAGTCTCCAGAGAATCAAAATGGCGCCGAGAACACGAATCGTAAAAATAGGCGCATTGCTTCTCTCGTAGTTTGACCTTTTGTTGACGCTCAATTTTTAACTTTTTGGGATAGTAACACCCTACAATGATGATGGAACTGAAACGAAACCTGTCTCTTAGCCAGAAAGACGTACTTGCANGAAAACCATACCCTTCACAGCGGCACATACCTATATAGCCCATATATGGCAGTGCCCCCCCCCCCCGGTGCTGATACTCCTGGGATCAAACCATTTACTACACATAAGCAATACTAGAGAAGCAGTCATGTCAAGGGATTAGGAAGCAAAACAAAAGAAACATACCTTAGAATATCAAAGTCCTTGTAGCCACCTTTAACACCATAATCTCCAATGCTTCTTGTGTTCTCCTGATTACCAATTCTACGGTTCCTTAGTATTTGTGGAATGTCCAGTCCCAGATTTGCCAGTCTAGCAAGCTCGTCCTTGTTGTTAGTGACATGATCAACACTCAGCTGAACATAAAAGTAAACAGAATAAGTCACAATGAAATGTTAATATTTCATCTGTATTGTATTGCAACATAACTCAGGTTAGCCTGCAGTGTAGGCGTTATTTTGGAATGGAACTCTTGATAAACCAGGTTTTTGATGCCACCATCTTGGATTGAAATTGGATGCTTGACTGGTGAAGGGCTGGGAAAGAGGAGGGTGGGGGTGGGGCACTCACAAAATCCTCCCTTATCCATTTCTTTGACCTCTCGCCTGCTCCCTTGGAAAACTTTCCCTTGCCCCAACCTGCCACAGTCACCAAATCCAAGATGGTGGCCTAATACGAAAATGTGCACCCACACACCCAAAATGCGCCTGCACTGCAGGCTAAACTCCAGTTTCTGTAGAATGAAACAGCTAGGTATATTGCTACTAGCCCAGGTTACACGTGAGCATTGTCAGGTCTCCCTAACAGTTGCCTAGCACTAAGGATAGAAGGCATAGAAGAGGCACTGGGAGAGGACAATTCCTTACTTAATACTTACTGACCCTGGCCAGACTCAAACCCTGCTCCAGAATTNTTTTCACTCTCTCTTATTGTAACTCCTTTCTTTAAGCCAGCCGTAGTCTTGTTCGTAGCTGTTAATTTTATTGCATAATAAAACATAATGATAATTGCTACCATAATATAAGTAGTGTGAGTAAAGTATATATAAGTGGTGCAGGCTCATATTTGTAGTACATCTCTTTGTAAGTAGTGTAAATAGTATATTATTGTTGCGTAAGTATTATAAGAAGTGTAAGCTCTGTAAACTGCATGAGAAGTGTTTAAATAAAACCAAAAAACAAAAAACAAAAAACTTATTACATACCTGTTCAACAGAAAGGGTGCTTTCTGGCATCTCCTTACACAACAATGCTCTTGAGTCCCCCACATTGGCTACAAACAGTTTACCTTGGAATATAAGGGCTAAGACAGCTGTAGTACCTCCACTTATTTCATCCTGTAAGGCCTGAATTCTAGCAACTTGCTCTGGAAACTGTTGGTATGCTTCATATGAACTCAGACCCTGAACAAAAGAAAGATAAGATTCAGTCCTGCTAACTGGCAATATTAAATCATGTATAAATGGATATACACAGGGTTGTCACAAGTAGCTAGGTGCCACGGCAAGATTGCTATCTACTTTGTGATATTTGCTGGCCACTCTGCAGGCCTATTACAACGGATAGCATGGTTTGTTTTGTTAACATTTATCCACTGGATAGCGATTTATCCGGTGGATGGCATTATCCAGCCCTTGAGCAACCCCGACCTGATTCTTAAGAAAAAATAAAGCTACCTACAGTACTGTGCAAAAAGAATGCAAACATATTTTGCCCAAATTTGGCTCTTGTTCACACAAAATATCATAGGAATTTTGGTAAAGAAATGTGATTTATCGGCCGAGATCTCAAAAAAATTTCACTGAGTGACATGAAAATTCGAACACATACAAAAATTCACTAATCTAAGAACTATATTTCAATGAGATTGTGCTGGTACTGAAACAAAAATTCACATAGCTAAACAAAAAATTGCATTCCTGAAATGAAATTTTGTTTTGTGTTGGTAAGCATATCATATTGACAAATCAACGGAGTTGACAACTGTACACACAGCTCTTTAACTACCCGCAAAACAATTAACTTAAAACATGTAGTTCAAAACTATGTAACAACCTCGTTAACACACAGGTCATTTGAGAAGTGACCTGCTGGAAAAGGACAAACGTTTGTACTAGACATATTTTTGCAGTCAACTATCCAAAGGTTCATTGTGCTGGCAATATTTTGTACCTGAAAGAAGGTATTCAAAGAATTCAACATCTTACTTTTTCTAAGATTTGTGCTCCCCAAATTACATGTAGAGGTGAACTCTTAAAGACAAAGCTAACTACTGCAGAAGCAGTTTTACTTTAAATTGTCAAAACAATGGAATAATCAGCCTGAAAATGTTTCATGTCTTTCATAATATTCAGAAGTCATTGAGGTTTTTTCTCCAGGTATCTGGGTAATATCAATACTAAAATCACATGCATTACTCTAACAAAGGAAACATTGGCAGCTGGAAAGTATGTAATAAATATTATTATTGAATGTACCTCAGGCATCTGTAACTGAAGTTCTGTTTTCTCAGCCAGTGCATCATCTAAAGACTGGAAGAAACCTTTTTCAACTGCAATGAAGGCTTGTCTGAGAACTGCCTTGATCTGCTCATCACTCATATTAGCTGTTCAAAAAATATAAACAGAGAGGTCCTGGTTCAAAAGGTGATTAAACTTGCCATTATGAATTCTTGATTTTTTTACCCCACATGAGGCTTATTTTGGTACTATATGAGAAAAGTATGTCTTATTAGGGAGTTTATTATAAGCAAACCACAACGACATCAGCAATGGGAACATCACTAACCAAAAGGTTTAATGAGCAGAACAATGGTTGTGCATGTTTGTTTGAAATCTTTGTGCATTTCGTTGTTGTTCACTGCCAAACAACATGAAACAGCCAAATTCTGAATAGTCTTAAGTACACGAGCTGCGATGGCAATTTGTTGAGTCCATTTTTTAAATTAAACACCACCATACGTATTCAGTTTAGAGATAGCTCTTATAGTTATACACAAACTGAATCGCTCAAGATTATTGCCAGATTTGTAGTCATTGCCAAATATACAGTTAACACATTTTTCAATTGACATTGTCCTTGACGTTGCCACCGTGGTTGCTTAAAGTCCCTATTCCAAGTGCTGAAACTGACAGAAGTGAGTCAGACCAGTGTCAATTAATATTGATGTAAGGTATTACGCATACCTTCCAAAAATACACTGTATCTTATGCTTACTAAAGAATTACTTTGTTTAATTACCTGTCAATTGGCCAAGTAAGAGCTCAGCAGGAAGCCTCTGGACAGTAAAATCTGAAGCCCTTGGCCCATCATGGCCGTCAAACACCCCATACAAATATGTATCATCTACATTAAAATGAAAACTTCTGTCTTCAAACTCATGTTCTTCCCGTCTACCACCATCTTCTCTGTATCTCTGGTTTGTCAAAAAGCCAACCCCAGACAGCTTGCAGACAGGAAGATCATCTGTCCAATTCTCAGTAGGGCTCTGAGACTAAAAGAGATGATGATTGACATTACAATACAGCCTTGTCAGTGTAATGCTCAACATTAGATTGACTATCAAATTAAGCCTTGATTGTTTATAAATAACAACAACAACAACAACAATAATAATAATAATAATAATAATAATAA